ATTTTTAAAAATTTTTGTTAAGCAATCAGTGAGCTATTAAAATATATTATATATTAAAAAAAGAGGTTTGTTAGCAAGTCAGTTATAGCGGAGAATGCCTATAAAATTATATAATAATAAAATAATGTTATTTTACATAACGTAGAAAGTAATCTATTTAATGTAAACGCAAGCTGTTACGTATCTATTGATAGATGTCCAGTCAAACGACTCCATGTTGCCCGCACATGAAGCCTTAATATAGAGATTAGAGTTTTTAATGCAGCTAAGAAGCGTAGGTAATTACGTAAGCGAAAATTTTCTGCTTAAGTAGTCCTAAGAGGTTGATTTGCAAAGTTTCAAATCCTCGTTAATTTTCAGTGAATCTACCGCCAATTGTGTAGAGAAGAAAATGGGAAGGAAGTACTTTGCTCTAAGAAATGTTTTGAGATCATAGTTGATTGGAATATGGCTAAATCGATCCATCTTGTCCAGCTCGACTTAAAAATACATACATTGTACAGATCGTACATCTCTATATCGGGAAAGGGAGAGAGAATCTGAAGACATCATTAAATAAGTAAAGTTTTATTTATTTATTTTTTTTTAGCTTACAAACTGAAGGTTTTATGGATTCTACAGAGCCAAGGACACATTTACTCATACCTTATGCTAGTTGTGTTCACTTTCTTAAAGTTCTTGAAAAAAAAAATGCAAAAATTATTTGAAGCCAATAAGGAGTAATTAGGAAGCAAGCGAAAGCACTGTAGTAGGGCACGGCCCTACAGCTATTTACAAACCATTTTTCATTATACGTCGCAATGTAGTAGGTGATCGAGAAAGTTATATGATCCGAATCAATTTCAGTAGCGTTCGTCCTTGAGGCGAAATATGTCAAGTTACCGAATGTCATTAAACTACATGACAAATTTGCAGATTGCATGTTGAGTAGACGAATATAAGACAGACGGATGGACAGACGAGCAGAGAAGGTTAAATGGGTTCACAAAATAATTATAATAAACAATAAAAACACGAATTTTACCTTTTTGCCGTATTATTGTTTCCGATGCACAGACGGACAGACACATAGATAAGGTTAAACCAATTTACAAAATGATTCTGATTCAATCACTATTTCAAGTTCTGGGTGTTGCATACATCTGCACAGATCGAACGTTCCCCACAAAGATCATCACAAATGGTTTGCGGTATAAAAATGAATAAAATAAGTAAAGCGTGATTTGAAGAGTTATTGCGGGAAAAAATAGAAATATTTTATATTCTACTTTACATAAAACCCCTCGAACAATGAGCGACCTTCATAGAATATGTAAATCTTACATTTTGACTTCCGATTAAGAAAAGAGCTCATTTTATCGATTTTCGGCAGCGCCAAAGCTAAATTTCTTTGTCATTTTTTTACTAAACTCAGAAAAAAAGCTGAAATTAAGGGATAAAAAAAATAATTTGTTAAAAATCAAAAATATTAGTAAATTAAGAAAATGTTTTCTGAAATTTAAAAATTTTAAATAAGGAAAATAAATGCAGAATAGAATAGGAGAAGAAAGTTTTAACTCGCATATGCTTTGAAAAAAAAATTCATCACTCGTGTATACATATTTTTAAATGGATTTTTGGTAAAATAATTGTTGTTGTTTCAGTAAGTTATTATTATTATTAATAAATTTCTATTTTTTTTATTATTTCAATTTAATTAAGTTTTCTTCACATTTCTCTTTTTCGTATATCTTTAAATATAATTTTTGACTCCATCACTAACAATATGGATGAGGTTATATCATAATTTCGCCATTCGATTTGGAAAATCCGTAAACTCAGAAACTTTGGGGTAATTGTATACCCTACATTAGATTCTAAGCCGATTTACATTGTCTCGTTCGTTTAACGTTCATTTCGCGATTCCGCACAGTCCGAAAGAAGGAACTTTCAAAGTTACAAATTTGCACCTATGTGCGTAGGCTTGAGTTCGATATTAAGTTTTATCTCGGCGGTACTTATATAATAAGTTAATTGAAAAGTTCGCAGAGAGGCATTTACATACGAAAACTAAGTAAAAACAAGGTATTTTAGCGCAACTAGCAGCTTCAAGCTCTGTGTTTGTCCATGGAACAAGCTAACTATTGCAATCAAGATTTTCCTGCAATAGAATTTTTATTAAAATATATTTATTTGATATCTATAAAAAAAATGAATAAAAATTAAAGGGTGAAGGGTGCGCACATCAGCAGGCATTTGGAAACCTCGGAAGTTCTAAAAGTTTAAGGGAACAATATGGAAAATGGGGTAAAACAAACTTTCGTTAAGATTCGAAACTCTCTTCCTATAGGCGCATCTTATAAGTACATTTGTAGCGAACTTTATATATTTGACGGAAATTGCGACAATTAAATCCATGCATAACTGAAAAGGTGTTGGACTCTTGATGAAATGATGTCCAGCCCAGTTTTCCACGCGATATGTAAATCTTTTCGAAGCAATAAATTGGATTCTAAAAACGACATTTGAAAATATTATTATCATTATTCTAACTACCTCAGCTAGGGAAATAAATTATTAGGCAAAAGTCTTAAATCACTTCATAGCTTCTAAGGCTATCGACTTTATTGCAAGCTCTGAGATTTGAACCCACGATCATTGAGTTGCTAGTGGAGATCCATTCTCAACTCGGCCATTCAGTCGGTACCTTTTGAAAATATTTTTTTTTATACTCAGCACCAAAGGATGAGGGGTATATTCATTCTATCAAACTTGCTTGCAACGCCCAGAGGGAAGCATCATAGACGCCATTAGGTCTATACATTCTTCATCAGCATCAAATTCTAAATCGATATAAACATGTCTGTCTGTCCATCTGTTCTAAACATTCTCGCGGCCGCAAAAATGAAGATGTCGACTTCAAATTTGGCAGCAACATTGGAAGTTCTTGCACGCAAGTTAGTATTGAAAATGGGTTAAATCGGTCGAAGGAGACACTCGCAGCACCATATAAACTTAGAACACTTTTGTTTTTCAAAAGAAATGAAAAATTGTTTTTTTACTCAAAAACTATAGCAAATAAATGCACAAAAATATGGACTTGACCTAAACTTTTCAAAGGGCACGCCGTTATAAACTTGGAAAATTAATTAAAATAATTCAGTGGATAAAATAAATAAATTTACAACTAGAAGATCCAGTATATACATGTCTTTTCAATTTACGTAGAAAAGATATTCCAAAGGGGCTTACGTGCTCAGTCAGTGTGACAAGATATTTTAAAGAGATGCATTGAATTCGATTTTTAATATAGTGGAACAGCTTGGTCATCATGAATAGTTCTATTCGAAATTAACCACGACGTTTTAACAATAAAACGAAGAGTAATAAAGTGAACTGGGCCCGCTTGTTCGCATTTACGAATTGCTTAAGTTGATTAAAAAAATTCTAGAGGGCGGCTACTTACTCGAGCTTAGAACAAGAACAAATTTGATCATATTATCTAAATCGTTTTTCTGTATTAAGGAATAATATCTTTTGATTTTTTCTTTTTCAATTTTATCCCTTGATTGATCATTTAAATATACAAGGATGATATAAAAGGATGACATATTGGCATTTGCAAGGATTTAAAGAGTTCATTTTGCGGAGTTTGTCTTAGAGCCCTAGTTCAGTCAGGTACTTTGATGGCGTAGCTTGGTAAGAACGGAGAACGTGCGCTGACAAAATAAGTTTTCAACATAAGTCTGCCGCGCATCTATCAGTGTTCAAAGTTATAGAACTGATTGTGTAGTGCAGCCATTGCTGATTAGAAGGAAAACTTTTTGGCTCTTTGGTTATTCGCTCTAATTCATAGAGCCACCACCTATGTGATCTTATGTGATGAAAAGAAAGTAAAGACAAGCTGCCATCGCAGTTAAAGACAAAGTAATTCCCAGCAGGCTAGAGAAGTTAAATTACCACCTATTGTAGAAACCACCAAACTGACGGCATTTGAATTCTTCTCTCTCGGTTGCTTATGCTTAACTCTAAAACAAAGTTGTACATAGCGCGGGATTTTTACACTAAGCAATCGTAATTCTTAGATTGAATGAGTTTCGAAAAATGGATGAAAAATTGAAAACGTTCTTAGTTGAAGGGAGAATATGAGTATGAGTATGAATGAAGAAATGCTTTTCAACTGTAAGTTTCCTTCGAGACGCCCACAATTGACAAAAAAATTGCGCAATTTTTAATAAATATTGACTTAGGGTGATGGATGTCCAAATCTTTATTTCGCCCTAAAGCGAATGCAAAATATTTACTGATATTTTCTTTTTTAATGATTTTGGAAATTACGATTACATCTAAACTAAAGTCATAAGATCGTAAAATTCAATAGATGAAAAAGAAAGTCTTTCATTGTTTTCTCTTTGTTAACATTCTTGCTTTTATGAAAAATACACACACATATCAAACTTGTCATTATTCTAATGTTAATTAGGTTTTAATATTTAATTTTCCTTATTTATTTATTTATTTATTTCATATATAGAACCATATTTAATATAAATATTTCATAAAGGATTTGCTTTAATGAAAAGAAAATGTTTTTAGAGGCACATTTTCTTATACTAAAAAAAAAAAAAACACTTCTAATGTCATTACAAAAACATTTTTTTTTGTCGTTAAGAGATGAACTCAATGCAGCATCGAGCTGCCGTATTGAGTTGAATTTATATTTATTTCTTTGTTTGAGGTTTATTGAAGGCTAGATAGCAACCTGATTTAAAGTGTTTCAATAGTAATAGTCTCGCTTCCTGTTTTTTTTTTTATTTTTCTTCTATGGTTAAATTTTTTTTTTTTGTTTTTAATTGCATTGAAGAGTATTTTTTACAAGTTTATTATTTTTATTTTATTTGGCACAATTTTTTTTTTGTCTAATTAAAATTAAATTACTTTGCAATTATTTTTCAATGAAATAATTTTTGGGTTTTTTTTAATAATTTTTTTTTTTTTTTTTGTTTATTTATTTATTTATTTTATAGTTAATAAATAATTTTTGAAAGAGTATTTATTGAAATTGGTTATGCTGTTTAAATCAAACTACTATTAGTAATCAGATATATCGAGGGCGTGAAGTGAAGCCAAATAAGTTAAGCATTTCAGTTACTGAAAAGTGTACAGTGAAAATTCATTTAAAAATTAACCTAATTCTAATTTTATTTCTTTGTTTTGCTTTCTTAAAAGAATTAACTCTTAACCGAATGTTTCGTAAAGCAATAAAATTTCTATACAATTAACGCTAATTAAAGCGTTTTCGCGAATGCTTGATGTAAGCTCTTTTGTAGAATGAATTTCTTTTTTGTCCTTACCAAAAATGTTACGTGCAGTAATCATTAAAAAATTCCGAATTTCTGGCATAAATATGACGTCATTTTACTATCAAACTCAAAACTTAAAGAAGCTTACGTTTTCTTGTCTTTTATATATTTATTTTTATTATTTTTATTTTTTTTTGGTTCTCTCTTTAGTCATCCCAATCATCATCGTTTCCAGAAGAAGATGATTCATCATCGGATGATTGCATAACACGTCCGCGTTCTTGTAGGGCACGTCTTAGAGCACTGGCTAAAGCATCTGTGCCTGAGAATTCATCACTATCACGTAATTCGCGTTTCTCTGTCGGCTTTAGCTCAATACCCATACGTATTTCTGACATAAGATCACTGTGTGAATCGCCGCTACCGGTGCTAAGCGCAGATGTATCAACTTTCTGAAAATATTCGAGAGAAAAAAAGATTTTTTTGAGTTTTTTTTTTTTTTTTTAATTAATTTTTTAATTTGCTTGCTTACCTTTAATTGTACCCCTTTGCGTATACTTTCCAGCAATTCGTTGCGGGTCTCTGTTACTACTGGTAGACTAGAAGCAATTTTGGTTTCTGGAGGAGCTTGTGATGTCGTGATAGTTGGTATTTCAACTGGTGGCGGTGGCGGCGGAGGGGGCGGAATGACAGCACTAGTTGGAGGCGGTGGAGGCGGCACCGGCTACAATAGACAAATTAAAGTTATTTATAAATTTTCAACATTACCATGAGGTATTTAGACAGATCCCTCATTTATTATTTATGCTCTTAGTCTTTTTAATCAATTTAAGCTTCATGTCTCGCCAATTGTGCTAGATGGATGAATGTTCATATCATGCAGATTTTTAGAAGAGTTTTGATACGTTATTTGAAAGTTTAGACTAAAGTTCAATTTCCAATGAATTTTTCATTTATTTTAATGGAATTTATGCAGAAGGTGACTTTTTCTATGTGACTTTGTATATGTTTTTTTTTACAAAAGAATTTAATTTCATTAACATCAAATGCCTCACCTTTCAATCTATCATGATTTTATAAAATTTTTTGAACTTGAGTTAAGAAATCGTTTGGGATAAGTTCCAACATACTATATAAATTTTCTTTTACAACTAATTATCTTAAGAAGCGAATAGTTAACGAATTCCAATCAGCAAATGTACTGGTCGCTCTATATCATTGCCTGTGGGATACACAGATAAAGCATGCAAAGGCCGGGCATGAAGAGAATGTTGCGTACATTACACAGACGGATTGAAAATACAATTGATGACATCAACAGTTCGACTGACGAAGAATATTATTGAAAAGTGCAAAACTTCAAATTCAGGTTTCAAAAATCTTCTACATTAATTAAGGTCGACTGATGTGATTTGGTTGATTATCATTTAGTAGACTAGCGATAGTCGACTATTAAAGGGATTTGCAAAATTTCGGGTTTGACTGAAAATGGTAGGAGGAGGATAAGGTAATTTTACCGGTGCAGGTATTGTAGCTTGAGTTGGTACTGGTGGAGGCGGCGTAGACATACTACTTATAGGGGGCGGTCGCGTAGGAGGCACTGGCGCTCTTGACAAGCCTGGCACTGTTGTCGGTACCGGTGGCGGCGGTTGTCTGGCTGGTGGTGGAGGTGGTGGCGGCGCGGATCTTTGGCTGGTTACGACTGCAGTGCCATTAACCACCTAAAAATCGCTTGAAAATCAATAAAAGAAATAAAAAATGTTTCTTTGATGCAGGAAACCTACACTATGCTGCTGTCTGCTAGGTACTGGTGGTGGTGCTGGTACCGTTGGTGCCGTTGCTTTTACCGGTTTATCCACTTGTTCTGATTTTACGGTGCCCAATACATTATTGCTTTGTATGAAATCGTAAATAAATGCTCGCGTGTCACGATCCTTGAGTTCATTTTCGGAAACACCAGCTTTAGCGAAGAAATGCGATAATACTTGATCATTTTCATTGCCCGCCAAATCGAATCCTTTATTAGCATCCCAACCCACATGACTGATGTGCATAAAATTTGTCGGTTGACTAATATCAGCTTTGGTTACTTTACGTTTCTTATCTTTACTGTTCGAAGACGAGGAGGAACTAAACGAAAAGAAATGCTTACTAGAACCTTGTGTATTTGTTACGGGAGCAGGCATTAAATTTATAGAGCCAATCTTTGGATGATTACGTAATTGTACGGTATTTTCATTTGTTACTGGTTCTTTGGGTAACGGAGTCAATGGTGCTGAAGGGGCTGACTGTTGTTTAGGTCGACTGCGTTTGTCTGAAGAAAAAACCGAAATAATAAAAATCGTCTATAAATTAAACAGAATCTGAAACTTACCCATTTTTTTTCGATTCCTTGTTTCAATTATTGAGTCAACGGCATGATAAAAAGATTCGCATTCCTCTTCAGAGACAAAATTTAAGCCAATATGACCATCCTATAAATATGTGTTCATAAATATTTTTTTTTGTTTTTTTTTTTTTTTTGCACTTACATGACCCTCAAATGTTAGCAGATAAGGTCGCGCTTTATTAATTTTCATACTATCGTATAGTTCATGTTCCCAGATCAGTTCATGCTTGATGAGGCAATAAGCACGCAAAAAATAGGAACGCTGAGCACTATCTTTAACGAAACATACAACACCCGTATATTTCTTTTTCCAATGTGAATGAGCTGAAGCTTCAGTTTTATAGATTTGCACTACCGCCGTATTTAGGGTCTAGATAAAAAAAAAGAAAGGATAATCGGCGGATTTAAATAAATAAAAACAGAAACAATTAAAAGAATTACTATGTGAGTCATTTTATCTTTTGTTGTTGTTGTTATTTGCTTTAATCAAAAATTCAATTAAAAATCGACACAACCGTTTCCTAAGCTTCACCCTTAAAGACTGAACGTTTGGTTAGCTAAGTAAGAGGACAATAGTCTTAATCAATACTAATGGTAAGCAGTAGTGTTTGATTTATATGAATTTGGCCAAAAACCAACCAACTTGTTGTTGTATGACATCTACAGTCATATAGTAAATCATTTTCTATATGTAATGTAATGATGAATATGTTTGTAAATGTGTAAAACTTACGTTTAATTATTTGCATACAAAATAACAACAAGCGGGTTGGAGTTGTGAGTGCATTGCTTGCTGCCTTAATCTGGCAATGATTTAATTCATTTGATAGTTGATGATGATGATGGTGATGGTGGTGTGACAGAGGCAGGGATAGATACTTCATAGCCACTGTACAACACAATTATTTAAATCTTCTTCTGCATGTCCCTCACGTACGAAAACAATAACAAGTTTTGTCGCCAAGTGCTACTGACAGATAGCCAATAGATAGAAAAACATACCTAATAATACACGGCATGCAAACGCATTTTGCGATGACTTCGCTTGATTGCAATAAGCCTTAGGTGTAATGCCTTCTTCATTTATCTTTCCTTTTCAAAGACCATTTACCGGGGGGGTATATTAACCTCATCATTCTTTGTGTAACATTTTTTTCAAAAGATACGTATCGTATTTTATTTACGCAACTTGCGATTAATTCAATCGTGATACGCTTTTGGTTCACTTTCGTTAAGGATAGGGCAAAATTGAGGCTAGGACGAGTATATGGATATGGTTTTGTTAATAATAAAATCTGACCTGGCTCATTCTCGATTGAAAAAAAGTCGATGAAGCAAAATTAAACTCGAGTCTCTTTCATAAATCGTTGCTCCGCATAGGATTGCACCGACTTTCCCGTGTTAGTTAGTCGATCACCTAAACTACGACCAAGAACAATGGTTTTGAGTTTCAAAGTTTTCGCTGGTCAGCTGCTACGCCTTTTATAGTGTAAGAATGAAATATGGCTTTTTTAGCAAAATGCGAAGTTTTGTTAGCGTAAATCATGTAGTGCTTATTCTTACCCTATCATTTCTTATATAAAAGAGAGGAGGGCATAAATTAGATTCTTTGAAAGTAAGGAGACTAATTTTAGGTTACAGAAAACTTCGGAAATCATATTTTAACAGAGAAGGAACCTCATTTGCCGACTTTTTTAGCGCAATTAGAACTTGTTGCAACGATGGTGGTTAGATCGTACAATGAATAGGAATGTGGTGTGAACAAGCTTTCTTTCGGCGCAATTATTTTAGGCTTTTTCTTTTTTGTTAATTCGTGACTTGATTGGTATTATTTTCTTTTTCCTTGGGACTAAAAATTGGATGCCCGTCTGAGATTATATGAATAACCAAACAGAAAAGCGACTATGCCGTCCAAAGGATTACTTTCGTTTTTACAAATAAAGGGAAAAATACCATGAATGTCAGAAGGCAGGATAAATGAAAAAGGACATTTGGAGCGTTCATGTAGTGAGTATGGTTAGCCCCAAAATCATAGACGCACAAGTCAGAGAAATATTAGATAGGCCTCCTACTTCCCAGAGGGAAGCATTCATGTAGTGAGTATGGTTAGCCCCAAAATCATAGACGCACAAGTCAGAGAAACATTAGATAGGCCTCCTACTTCCCAGAGGGAAGCATTAGATCGGGAATTAAACAGTAGTGTGGCCTCCACAGAAAAGGGGAATATCGCATTTACAGGGGTGATGGGTAACTGCGCAACATCGCACAACATTTTCCATTGCAGATGTCCACATTAAACACTAGAGGCATTTGTACTTATTTAGGATGGACCTAGGAACGTCTAAAAATTAGTTGTAAGCAAAGGTGATTCGAATTTTTCGGCACATAGCAGTTACAACTTTTTTACTGGCAGAGTTTTCCTTTCCAGAGAAAGTGGATGGGTACATTTTCCTTTTCTATTCGTAAAATTCTTTAATTCCATACCTATTTTCTTTCCCTAGTAAGAAAAGTGAGCATGAAAACGGACCGAAAGATTGGGTATATTATTACCATCGAGAGAGCTACTTTCTGCATTTGGGCTTGTCTCCTTGGGCCTCCGCCTAAGGGGCAACAATTGGAGCTTTCTTTAATTCCAAAACTGATTCCAAACTGACACAGTTGTAGTGAACTTTTACAACCTTGGGAATTTAGGCCAATAATTGCAAATCTGACTCAAAATCGTGCAATGACGTTCCCGCTTAGTTAGCTTAGTTCGTATTGTACTGTATCGAAACTGTGTTACAATATTCGCAACGTTTTGTATCGTGTTTTATGTACGTGAAAACAGAGGTTTATACACATATCTATGGATAGGGCGCATGGAAAAGTCGGCTTTAGGTGATTGTATTCATTTTGCCTTGTCTTGCCTTCAATGCATACAAATATAATATAAATAAATAAATATATGAACACATTTGGAAATTTATGTAATATTTTGAGCTTGTCTGCTTGACTCTGCATATCTTTAATTTTACAACTTTTTTTTCACTTGGCGATTAGCTCTGTAAGGTATTGTTTATATGGGCTTAATAGAGTATATACATATATAGATATATATATATATATGTATATGTCTATTGTAAGAGAGGAAGTCCGCAAGTGACATATCATAAGCAATGGGTGGAAATCGTAAAACACTGGCCGTGACATAACAATATGGGAAATAAACTTAGCATTAGACAAGCGATGAAGGAAGACAGCCGAGGGTTAGAGAATTCATTACGCTTTCAGTTCACATAGCGTACAACAACGCTATACTATTATTACTATTACGTATTCTATGCATAAAGGGAGTTTGAAATTAATTCTTGTTTTTGTTGTTGTTGTTTTCTTTGAAATTAATCTCTACAATAATTGGTTTATTTTTTTGCTTTGTTTTTTTTTTTTTTTTTACGTAAATATAATTTTTTATGGGAAAACTTTCGAACACAACCATTTCTGTTGTTATATTTACTTTTAAGCGCTTCGACAGGTTTTCCTTTTTGGTTAAAAAAAAAAAAAAATGACAAAAAATTTTACGAAAAGCTATATTAAGCAATAAAATATCTCCATATGTACATGTTTAATGGATGTACAAACACTTTATGTATGTAATTATAATAATTTCTTTTATTTATTTATTTATTTTTTTTTCGTAATAATCAAGCGGTTGTAAACTCATTTCTAATGTTAAGTTTTGCTGATCAAAACTTTGAAGTTAAATCGTTTTCTTTGCTTTTCGTTGTGTTTGCTCTTGTATTTACTTTCATTTAATGGATATGTTTTACTTCGATTGTATTGTTGTCGTCGCTGTTATGTATAAAATTTCATTGAACTATAAAAGGGCAAAGTGGTTTTTTTCTCTTCTCGTGCATGCCTATGCCAATGACAAGAAAACACTTTTCAATGTTTGTACTTACGACGGTTTTATGTCTTTTGCTTATTTATTTAAACTTATAAATGAACATTTATGTGTGCAGGCTAAGCTGGGTTTTTTTTTTCTCTACACAGGTGAAAAGATATTGAAAGTATTTAGCTAACAAGTCTTGCTGAACGCGATCGATACTGCTCGAGTTATCGAGGTGTGTTAATAAATCGACGGTGACTAATTATCAATTTTCGATATTTTAAATCTCTCCTACTCGGCCGCTATCTAGAAGGTTTAATTTTATATGTGTAGGTCAATTCGCCTCATATAGAGGATCGGCAGATTATGGCAGATTATCGGCAGATGGTGGTATACTGCCCGGTTGAATGCCACGGTATATATTCACCGGTTCCAGTCGATTACGATGCCTACATAGAGACGGTTGTAATAACCGTGAAAGATTCGCCATCACCTGGATATTCCCATTTTAGGTTGCGTACGATGCCTAGGGAACTTTTACTATGGCCATAAAAGAGTTCAAAATCACGTGGCGTGGTCTCCAATGCCGACCGATTACGGCCCCTAGCGGGCGTTTATCATGAACGTAAAGAAAACTTGTAACCGCATGGATTCCCTTTGTTTGGTTTGATTGTGATACTCACTCCCCTGGGCCCCCAGTTTTTATTATACCCGTGAACAATTCGTAATGACATGCAATTTATTATCTTGAATCAGTTGCATTTATCACGCCAATTTAGCAGAGTAAATTTGTCTGTATGTCTGACTCAACATTGTTGGGAGTACACTTTTAAAATACCATAAGCCAGGAAAAAATGCCAGATATTTGCTTTATATACGTCCAGGTTGAAAGATTACTAAGCTACTAACTTAAGAGAGGTAACGAGAGTTTTTCTGAAGACACAAACAGTTTGAGTTGAAAATTACATTGCAGTTGCCTTTGATATTTGCGGTAGTTAAGTAATGGAAAATTTGTGAAAAATTAAATCAAATCAAAAATATAAAGTGTAAAGGAATGGGTGTTTATTAAATCCTCCAGAATTTTTCAATTACATCCAAATTCGAATTTCCTTAAAATAATCGGTGATAGTGTTGCAATTCTTTCATGTCAAGTTTTGTGACGTTGGCCATCAATGTGGAGCAACAACAACTCTTATTCCCATATAGTACTCGTTGTGTCTACTTTCGATTGCCGCACCCGGGCTGACGAAGGTAAGTAATAGCATTCATCGTTTGTGTCATGCAAAAATGTTATTTTGCAAAAACGCAATACAATAGATTTTTTCACTTAAGACGCTTCTTCTCCTCTCAGTCTCCCGTTTTATGAAAATTACTTGACATGACTCGAATCGGTCATTGAAAAAGTACGTTTTAACATTCGAATGGGTATAAGTTTCTCAACAAATTATCAATTTTTCTGGTTATAATCGTATTTGGTGTAAGGTGTCCGGTTGCCGACTTTGCGG